ACCAAAAATATCTAATGTACAAACTTCTCACCCCAGGCTGTAAATAAAACATGTGATTGAAATTTATTCCATTTGTTTTGATTTTCTGTTTACATTTCGTTGTTATTTCGTCGCCAGCACAGCAACCCATGTTACTTCTAATATATAAAATTCTCGTGTCACAGTGTTTGTCTGCAAACTCCTCCGGAACGACTTCACCGATCGTTATGAAATTTGGTGTGTAAATTCTGTAGGTATGCGAATCGGACGTAAACTATTTCCCGTTTCGAAATTCTTAAAAGGGCTCCGCCCCAGTGGCTCTGGAGTTTCCCATGTTAACCTTATGAGAAATGGAATTAATGAATCTTAACAGCTGTTTCAATTAAACAAGTTGGTTCTGTTCTATGATGTTCAATAGAATTAAAGTTACAAGGATTACCAACAGGGTGCAGCACTACTATTTCTTTTACATTTATGACAACAGCTAATTTGCAACCAAAAGGTGAGTGAGCGTAGCGAACGAACTTCAACCTGGAGGCGAGTTAGCGTAGCGAACGAGCTAACCTGAAGGCAAGTGAGCGCAGCGAACGAGCTCCAACCTAAAGGTGAGTGAGCGTAGCGAACGAGCTCCAACCCAAAGGTGAGTGAGCGTAGCGAACGAACTTCAACCAGGACGTGATTGAGCGATGCGAAGTAGCGAACGAGCTCCAACCCAAAGGTGAGTGAGCGTAGCGAACGAACTTCAACCAGGACGTGATTGAGCGATGCGAACGAGATCATCTTGGAAATTAAACGTAACGGTACTTTCTTTCCATCGGTCTGTCTTAGGGGAAACCTATAACTTAGGCGATACGAAGTTCGCCGGGACAGCTAGTTTTTATATAAAAAAATGGCTTATTTCTGAGCCTGTTTTAGTTTATAAAGGGACTCTGCACACCTACAGGAAAATATCTTTTTAACAGTATGCGTAGATTTTCCCTACGATGCACACGATGACAATATCTAATTTGAACCAAATAGCAACAAAAAGCTGTGAAAAATGAGATTTTCACTTTTTTACTGTTTTGGGGCAGTGGTAGAACATTATGGCTATGGTAGATGTGCTTACTAGCAAACGGTAAATTAACCGAACCAAGTTTTCCTAAACCGTGTCCTCCCCCATTGCAAACGCAAAGCACGAGTATAACTACAAAAAACGTTATACTTATACGCCAACCCCGTACGAAAAACGGATATTGTGCTAGTACGAAATAAATCTGACAATTTTAATGGCTTTCATATTTGTATTAGATATCCAGCCAGGTAAATGGAAATTCGTTAAGTCTGCAGATATGCTGGGGTATTTAAGGATATGTTTTGATTAAATTTGGCAAATTTGTTCATTTCATGCTGAACTATCAACACTTCAATAAATAATTCACCTTATAATCTTCCATGTACCCCAAAGTATTGTACTCATTAAATAAAATATTTTTTTATAATGGGAAAAATCTGACAATTTTAAGGGAGTATTTTAGTGGAAAACCAGCTACGTAAAGGAAATTTGCCTAGTCTGAAGGTTTGCTGCGGCGGGGGTATATTACGTCCCACCATGACATCGTACAACGCTCCAGCCCAGAACAGTTTTTTACACATTACGGTAAAGCATTGAGGAAAGTGGCTTCATAACTTGATGAAATCCATTGGTGATTGGCGGGATTTGAACCTAACATCTTGAGGGCCTAAGTCCTGCGCTCTACGCATCTCTGTTGACTCCCTAAGCATTTGTAGATTAATATCGAAATTATTAAAAATGAAGAATGTGTATCGACCAAATGTACAAGGTTATGGAGTATAAGGTGAAATTATGAATTCTCCAAATTTGATTAACATATCTATAAATTAATAGGCAAGCATGTTTCTTTAAAACCTATTTTCCTCAGCTCGTGTGCATCGCAGGGAAAACATACGCATACTCTTAGAAAGATATTTTCCTGTAAATGTGTAGAATCCCTTTAAAAATTAAAATAGACTCAAAAATAAGCACACAGGTTAATTTGAAATAAAAAAAATTACATGACAACATTAGTTTACTTTAGTTTATTTCCATTACAATAATATAGCCAACAACCATAAAAACAGTTCAAATATACTACTACGTTATTTGTTTTTTCCTTGAGGATTTGTTGACATGTTGCGAGAGACCTTCCAATTATCCCAAGTCCCAACTGATTACACTTGTCCTAAGCCGATCGTCGATTTACCACGATCCATCCCTACCCTATCATTGATAGGACTGTTTCATGATTATAAGCCAATCATTAGTCTCCACTCGGGTAGGAGACACGACTTTCGGCTTTTCAAAGAAATCTTTTTAGTTCTTTACTTTAAATTCTGTAACAGGGCAGAGCCAAGCGCGGTAGTCATACACTAGCTACTAAAAAATTCCTGTGAGTATCGAAGGATACAGAGGACTCATAGTAAACTACCCCGGCTTTAAATGGCAATATTGTCCTATGGTTTATAGTTAATAATTATTGGTCTTTCTTTTAGGTGAATGTTAATTTGTTATTGTACCTTAATAATATAAATAAATAAACTTCATAAACTAAATAAATAAGCATTCAGCTTGATCTGTTTGAGTGACATCTAGTGGTGACGAAACGAACTGTGTGGCCGGGTGGTGACATCTAGCGGTGAATAGTCGAACTGTTGCTCGCCTCGGCTCTCCTAGTGAATTATGGAAACTAGCTGTTACCCACGGGCTTCACCCCGTTTGAATTAATTAGTATTAATAAAATTATTGATTGATTTAGTTAAGCTGAAATAAACAAAACAGAATACAGTAATACAAACAAATAAGTACAGCTTAGGTATTTTTAACATTAGGTATATGAAAAGTTCCCTTTAAAAAGGAATTACGACCATAAAGGGCAACTGATGAAATAATGGATAGTTTTACTCAAGGTTTCTCGTCATGACGAACAATTTAAGTATATGGTTTATGGGAGTGTGACTTGTAGTTTTCTCAAAAGTTCATGGGTACTTTTGGATTTATACATAGATGCTATTGCCGAAGAGCTCATATAGTAAGACGTAGATCTGGGACCGATTTACTTTTACGTTTTGATGTCCCCTCCCCAGAGACCAAAAACACCATCCGTTCAAATCCATATATTTAGGGTCTACATACGTGTCCGATAGCATGATAACTGGGGCAAAAATGATCCGGTTATGACAAAAATCGGTACTAACGTGTAAACCTACATTTATTCGAACGAGTTCGCGAACCAGCATGATCGGACTATGGGTACGGGGTTGTATAGGTTGCTTTAGAATATAAATTGGGGTTTCCCGTTTTTGACCCCCAAAACATCAAATTTTGTAATTTCTCTCCAAACAATTTTGTAGAGCTTAAAAAAAACAATTTAGTACACTGATTTGATTAAAAAATTAAAATTAGCAAGCTCATGGTAAGACGTAGATCTGGGACCTATTTACTTTTACGTTTTGATGTCTCCAGAGGCAAAAAACATTATCTGTTAAAATTCATACAGAGTGTCTTGCAACCATACAAACTTAGTCATGTTATTCAGCATGTAAAAAGAAAAAGAAATAATATAACATATGTCCTATCTCATTTAGTTTTCGGTATATCTGTCTGTATGTGATTTTTACAAAAACATTCATAAATCTTTATGTCTTTGAGCTAGGCATTGAAATTCTGTAAAAATGTTTATCTTAATGACCAATATTCTTGAGCAAAATATGAATAAAAACTCTTGAACCGCTTAAAATTGGCGGTTTTTAAAATTATTTGATGTCAAATTCCATTAAAACACTTAAAACAGTTAATTTTACAAAATATTTGCAGGGCATGTTAAAGTTAGTACGTTTTATGCAAATTACAACGATATCTTATTAGCTTAGTTTGAACAAAGAATAACTGAGAAAACTTATATTTTTTCCGTTTTCTCCATTTAAACAATGTGAAATTATTAAAACTACTTTTAATTACGTTTAACATTGTTTAAACGGAGAACACTGTAGGTATGGCAACAAAAAAATAGTTTCTCTACCTATTCTCTACCATTTAGTTTTACTACCTTAGTAGTAATATTTTTCTAAAAATATCCATAGTTAGTAACATTTTTAACTTCAATATAAATTATAGTAAATTATTAGTTTTTAAGATCATCAAAACTGTTTAGAGAGATGTTGAAAATATTATATTTTGAGGGTATAAATTGGAAGACCCAATTTTTACACCATAAACCCCTGTCCCCATATCTCAATCATGCTAGTTCGCAAGCTCATTCAAGTTTATCCTGAGCTACACAACCCAAATTTCATGAAAATCAGACCAAAATTACTCAAGTAATTTAAATTATATGGACTTGGACATATAACAATTTGAATTAATAGTGTTTGTAGCCTCTGGAGGCGAGAAAGTAAATCGGTCCCGGGTCTAGGTCTTACAGTGCCACCTACCGTAATAGCTATAAACTTCCCTAGGAAAATAAGACAACCACATGGAAGACACTTAATCTAATCAGTGGTGGCCTAAAGGTTTAATTTAGGGGAGGGAATGCCCCCCTCATACACGTAAAAAGCCTGAAAGCGTTCAGGTAAAAACCCCGTGGTCAATTCTGTTTTTCAGGGGGGGGGGGATATATCTCTCCAATACCCCTCTCACTGAGGCCACCACTGAATCTATACATGCTTAAATCTCTTCTTTACTCATTCAACTCTATCTTCAAATTACAAGATGCCATCTAATCCACGTTTCTATAAAATTTTTTTTGAAAAACTTACTATACCCTCTATCAATTATACCTTATTGGTTTAATTAATGGACCCAGGCCCACCAGTCGCAAGAGGGTTTATATTTTTTGTTTGGGGCACAAAAAGAGAAACATTTCTCCACAAGGTAGGTGGAGGGGGTGTAATTATTTCTCAGCCCTATATAGTATATCACATGCAAACCTAGGCTAGCAAAACATAATTTTGTTCCCTTTCTGACAGTTCTTGATCTTTTGCAGGTGACAATGGCAGCGAGAACATTGAGATGGGCCCGATGACGCTGCGGGAATACATCGCAACGCTGGAGCCGTACGACCCAGAGATCCACGGCTGGCGGGGGGACGAGCCGTTGACTGTGAAACGCAGAACTCAAAAGCGAAACTCCAACCACAGGTTGAGCCTTGCGAACGGGGGCCTGCCGGGATCATCTGGAGACAGCCCCGCCTACAGCTCTGTCAGCTACCATCCCAGACAGCGGGGCAGCGTGGAGCTGCAGAGTAACAACGTCATCTAGGTGAGATAGGATGATCTTTGAGATAATTATGAGATAAGGAAGTATGATGAAAATGTCACCACAATGTCCTCTTTGTTATCATAGCTTTTGAGACCTAATTTCACAGTAGCAAATGTGTCTGAAGACACCAAAAGATTCAAACCTGAGACCCAACTGATTACTCGGTGATTTGGTGAACTTTTGGGAAGTTCAATGTAGTCGTAAATTGTCCAGTTAGGGAACACTCATCGTCTAAGAACTGACTAACATCGGAATAATTTGGACTATTGGCAAAATCAGAGTGAGAATGTCGTGCGTTCTTGCTCCACACTAGACCCCAGACCTTCACCCAGATATTATTTTTGCCAGGAAACCTTCACTGTAGGAAACTCTATGTTGGCTCTATTTTTTTCTTTTAGGGTTCTCCCTGTTACTTGAAAAGTTCAAGGTTTTTCAAAGTGTCCCAAGAGATTTGCTTGAAGGCAAGTATTGCTCAGGCAGTTTAAGTGATCCCTGAAGAAATGCAGGAACGAGTAATCGATGGAGTTTTCAAGCAAAAGGAACTCTGATTAGGATCAGACGTTCCTTGAAGGACGTTTTCAATTTGAAATAGCATAGGATTTAAGCTGTATTTTGATGAACTATTTATATGTATATAGAAAATAGTATTAAATTTTCCCTATTTATAAACTGAGGCGCTCTCATTGCCTCACCCTGTACCACTGGGACTCAGTACTTTAATCAAGCACATCTTATCCATCTTAAAAGTTTTTTGTGCTCTTAAATTAAATAATTTATCTTTTTACAGATGCTGATATTGTGCCTTCTTGGATCCAGTGACTTAAAAGGCGCCTTCAGATAACTGTGACTGTTCCGGTAAAACCTGACTTCCTATTTTAGAACACAAATGTTTTAGAAACATGTTTTTAGATATTGTTAGAAATACTGTAAATGATGTAAGTAGGTGAATATTGTAATTACATTGTAAAAAATAGTTGTCTGTTTTATAGGGTAAAAAATGTACTTAATCAAAAAACAAAATCATGTTGTGTAACAAAATAGTCTAAATCAATAAATAGAATTTAGTTAAGTTTTTTAGAAGACAAACATTTTATGCTAAACACAAATGGTGCCTATTTAAAAAGCAAAGAGTTTTTTCTTAATGATATTTTCTGGATTTAATAATTTGTTTTGTACGGTATATAAAAAGTGTATGTTCATTGAAAAAAAAGAAAATGAAATAATATCCAATTTAATTTGAATACAAACCCTTTGAGCACACAATTTGTGAATGGGAATTTTTTACAAGATACTTTTATATGAAACTTTTCTTTAACAGTGTATGTTATTAGCCCAGTCAAATGGTGTTTTGAAATGGAAAGTTTTGGTGTAATTGTTTTCTTTTGTTTTCTTTATGTTTTTTGGGGTGCTGAATCCAAATTTGAAGTTTTCCAACAAAAATTATATCGGCAAGTATGACATTTTTTGAAAAATAGGGTGAAAATTGATTTTTTTTCTAGTTTTTGGCTCATAATTTATCGAATAATAATTTTTCCCAAACATCATCCTATACTAAAATAAAGAGCATAAAATTCTCTACAGTTTATGTATCTATAACTTTTGTCTTTAACAAAGCAGTTTTTATCAAACTAAATTAAAAGGTCTGCAAAATTAATTGCTTTAGGAAAAAAGCAAAATTATTTCCTTTATGACTTCTCCAGGTTATAATAGGATGTAAAAGTGTAAAACATCCCATAAATCTTGTTTTATTATAAATATTAAACCCTTTTAATTTAAAAATACATGTACACCAACATAATGGTAGATACAAATTACTTTGATTAAGTTAAACTTTTTAATTTCTCCGAGTCTTCTTGGCCAACGGTACCATGATTTCTGCAGACCTACTCTCAGGTTCTTTTTCATCTAAAAAACCTTTCAAGATTTGAATCTTCAGTATGTGTGAATGATTTACATAAGGCAGACTTGGCCTCTTTCCTGATACCAAAGTCATCGAATAGAGGCATTGGGTACGGGCATAGTTCCTATTTCAAAAAGCCTTTAAGTTTCTCATCAGACTGCTTGGCAATTGTCATTCTGTAAACAATAGTAGTTGGATTGATACGTACGATTAAGGTCATCATGTATTTTAAGGGAATGGATCATTGTGGAAAGTGGCAAAACTCTATCTTTTCTGTAAAACTTTACCTGTTGAAAATCACTTCCCACGATTGGATTTTAAGCAATGTGGCCAATCTCCTTAGCCTTGTGGCAGTTTATATTGCTGTCTCCCACAAAACCTGAGCTAAGAGACATCAGCGAATGGTTTGCGTTGCGTAAACCAATCATCTAACTTTTTTAAATCATTTCCATCTCTTTTGATTCTAGCTTCTCTCATTTAACTTTTTGTTCAGAGCTGATTAATGTCACTCCACACATCTTCTCCATTTCTTCCAAATTTTTTGTAGTGAACTCATTCCTTTGTTCATCTGCACAGGAACCCTTCACTTACACCACGATCATGGGTAAGCGCTCCAGCAATTTTCATTACTCCCATAAGAGATTGGTCGATGGACATGTCTGTCCATGATCCACTCCAGAACTTGTTGGTCCTTTGAACGGTAAATCCACCACCAATAAACTTTTAATATTCCTCAGGGCTCACTTTGTCTTTCAACGAGTGCGTCTTGGACGAGGTATAGATTAGTCTACAGCGTAGCACCACGATGAGCTAAAATTTGGAGCCGAGCAGAAAACATAGTTTCCAATTTCTTTACACTGCCGTTTTCATTAGGTTACAGCATAGCCGACCTATTATAATTACGGAATAGCACTAAGAGTTCTTCTTAATAAAGGTCTGCCGTCAAATCCATTGTATTGAAAATAGGTTTTGCCAAGCATGCATAGGCAAAACATATGCATTTTTATATCTGCTCTATCGGCTCTTGAATAGGCATGTCCAGTCAGAATCTCTATTGAAAGCAGTGCATATATTGTACTAAACATCCATGATGTAACATATTGTCTTCAGAAAGGACATTCATTCGTTTCATACACCACTGATCGTATCTCTTCAAGGATTATGTCCGCATACGTTCATTTATGTAACTTTTCTGGCAACTTACATACATGTACAAAACGATGAATGAATGCATAGCATGCGAGTACTGACGACTACACTACAGTACCCGGTGAGCAACAAGCAGACGCATGTCGGCACCTCCCCCCTCCCCCGTTACATAAATATTTTAATTATATATATTTTTAAATTTGTATATGTGTGTCTATTATCACGATAACTCGATGAAAAATCATCCGATTTTTATGAAAATTGTTATAAACTTGTAAACCTTCATTTATTCGGAGGAGTTCACGAGTCAGCATGATCAGACCAGTTGGTTTTGGTGAGGTTATATGGGGGTAAAATTTAGTTTTTTTTACCTTAAAGGTATACAGTTCTGCAATTTCTCCCAAACAATTTTGTATAGCTTAAAAAACAAATAATTTAATATATTGAAGCTATATTATGCACCTAATAGTAACGGAGAAAAAAATACTTTTAAAATTCCCATGTTATTCTTATAGGGAATAAGTAAACTATTATATTTTGCTTGTTATGAACATATTTTGATAAAAAGTGGAAGATTTTTTCATTTCATACGAAACCATTAACATTTTAAACACTTTTTACCCTCCCTGTTGCAGCAAACCTAAGGACGCGTTAAACCAATGCTATTTAAATGGGAAAAAATTCGATATTTTTAAAGTGATGTTTTAGAGTAAATTGAATCAAGAAAATGAAAATTCGCTTAGTCTGCAGGTTTGCTGTGGCGGGGGTATTTTGTAATTTCTATTAGGTAATTACTTTGTAAATTATATGTACTTGGTATCCATTTTCTGGAAGTAATATATATGTTAAATATTCAATGTTCAATAATTTCTGAATAAAATAACTTTATTTATATTAATATAAATCACTTATCATTGGTTCGATTTTCATCACCAGATAGTCAATGTATGCGGAATTTTATGCTATACAATCAATTCATTTACGATTTTTTTTTTTTTTTTTTTTTTTTTTTTTTTTTGGGTAGACTTTTTGACGTTTTGGCAAAATCTAAAAAATAACCCTGAATTTCAAGGTTTTTGTGGTCCCAGGTCAGAAGCTCACCTGGAAAAATGGGACAAACTTCAAATCCTTTTACTTCTATATAAATAGAAAGGATTAAAATTATCCCCAGCTTTCCAGGAATTATTTCTGGGCAAAACCCTATTTTACTGGCCTATAATTTAAAAGTTGTAAGCCAAAAACTAGAAATAAAGCATTTTTTTTTTAACTAATCTTTAATTCACATTTGCCGAAATAATTTTTGTTGGAAAACATCAGATTCGTGTTCAGCAACCCCAAAAACATAAAATAAGCCATAAAAAACAATTACACCAGAACTTTCTACTTTGAGCCCTTTTTAAACACCATTTGACTGGGCTATATAGCCATTGAATAGAATAAAGCCATTGAAGATGTAGAACAACCCTGTATTTACATCCATAAAACTTCTGTTTGTTTAAACAAATAGAATCATTTATGGAAACTAAAGAAATGGTGCATGGTAATGAAAAGTTAAAAAATACAATAGTACTAAAAATGAATTTTGGTTTCAAGCTTGTTTGGCTAAAAATCAAATCACGTTACAAATTTTTTTTAGTTAGATATTTTACAATTGTGTAGTTATTCATGTATGCATTATGATGATTTTGTATTTTATTGTATGTATGTTCCAAATCAGGGGTTTTTATTGCTTTAGAAAATTTTAGGCTAGACACAAAAATATTATACTTTAAAATATTTTAAGTAACCTATAACCTTTATTTTTACACATCAATTCTTATTTTCTCATAGCTTTGTAAATATAGTATTTTTGCTTGTGATATTTTTATCTACGTTAATTTAACAATACCGGTACATAATGATGAAAACTATAAAAAAATTATATACTTAATAAACTGGTTTAAGTAAAAAAACTAAGAAAGTCAAGGTTATGAGAGTACTTTTCTCGACTCTGAAATGAGCCATCGGAGAAAATGTATTTGAAATGAGAACATTTGTATAAAATGAGGTTATCTTTTTAACAAAAAAAGTACTGCAGTTAACTATTAATTTATTTTTTGTTTTATTTTACCCTACAGAAGATTTTGCTATGGAAGACACATTAGTGCCCTTCAACACAAGTTAACATATTTAAATCCATAAGACAAATGCACATACAGTACATTAATACCAAATCCATGTATTAAGAATTTTCTAAATGCAGTCAAAAATTATTTCCCACCAAAGTATTTTTTTAAAAGGAATACAATCTGTACATTGAAGTGTAAATAATGTAATTTTGTATAGTTATGATAGTAAGAAGTGTAGCAGCAGAGCCACAAATGTTCTCTTTTTTTACAACCAAACTAGGTTTTCAATTGGTTTTTTACAGGATTTTAAAATAAAAGGAATAGAACGTTTGAAGAACTGAAGGCATTTTTACATGGTCAAGACAGGTTCTCCTAGCTACCCATTTCGGCTGCGGAATTGACAATGTCATGCTCTTAGGCACTGAAGTTTCCTTGCCAAATTCTCCTGCTAGGACATGTACTTCATCCTTGTCTGTTCAGCTGGTGCCGAAAAATCATCTGTATTCGGCAGCTAGAAAAACCTGCATTTACTACAAATTTCCAAATTAACACAAATCCATATTTCTTATTTAGCTCAGCTAATACATGTTTTGAAATGAAATAATCAAAATGATGGAATTTAGTGGTTGTTGGACTTGTGTTACTGCTGCATTTAATTCATTAAGCGGAATCAAATGAACATTCGTATCAAAATGCTATTGCTAAGTGGGATAAAAATATTTATCATTCTGGCAATAATTTAGCATATTTTTAAACAGGAAACTTAAATACTACTTAAATGATTGTAAATAAGTTTTTTTTTAGAAGAACAAACAGTATGGAGATTATTGATCTGTTTTGATCTTTGTTTCCTAGTCTAAATGTGTACTTAATTGTTTACTAAACAGAAGAAAATGTTAATTCTAGTTTATCTCATATTTAGTTGGTAATTAGAGTAAAAAAAAGTTAGGTAAGGTAATTTTAGTTTAGAAAAATCTTTAAAATATCAAAACGTTTCTTACAATTGGTTATAGAACTAACAAAAGAAAATTCCAATGTACCTAATTTAAGTTGATTAAACTTGAAAAAAAGTGAAAAATATTTTTCTTTACAAAAAAATATTAAAGTAATTATCCTCATTTGTTTGTTGATGTACGTTGTACAAAATA